AAAAAACTCCTCTATCGGGTTTAGAAAGGGAGAGTATGCAGGCAGAAAGATGTTAGAAAACCTCGGATTATTGGTAAACCAGTCACGAACCAGAGCAGTGCGATGGAAGCTGACATTATCCCAAACAACAATGTAACGAGGCTGCTCTGGCTGTGCTGGTTCCCTCAGGTCCTGCTGGAACATATGCTCTCTTAGACCATCAAGGAAAGCAAGGAGGAGCATAGTGTTATGGGGTCCTAGAATGGCATGACGGTGGAGTACCCCTCGTTGGCTGATGGCTGCACACTGTGACATTCCCTCCGCGCTGACCAGGGACATTTACAATAGCCCGATGGCCAATTATGTTCCTCCCCCTTCTCCTTTTGGTCAGGTTGAAACCAGCCTCATCCACAAAGATAACTTCATGGGGAACAGACCGGCCTTCAATCTCAAAGATTCTCTGCAAAACACATGAAACACAGTAGAGTAAATCACTGCCCTGAAGCACAGTTCACACAAAAGGGCACAAATGGCAGCATAAACTGCTATACTGTGATGGTACACAATACTTCATACGATATCAAAACTCATACCTGAACATATTCCACTCATTGGTCTTTCAGTCTGTCAGAGTTTCATTCGAAAGGGACGCAGTACGCCTGTTTCATCCGGAACCGGTGCTTTCGGAGGATACGATCAATTGTGGAGAGGCTGATGGCATTTATCCCTCGAAAATGATGATTATCCTCAGTCACTCTCCTTTGAATCTCTCGCAGGCGGATTACATTTCTGTATGAGAGGCAATTTGATGCATTTCTTTATTACAGTAGCATAGTGCAACAGTGTATGCACTCTAAAGTTACTGTACAGAGCAGTCTTACTGCAAGTACACCTACCTGTTTTCCTCCCTGAAGGTTTTGATGATGGAGGCAACGGTGAAGCGACTCAAATTTGGCTGTACTCGTTGCCCAGCCTCCCTCATAGTCATACCATGGACAAGGCCATGGTCAACTAAAGTGGCTCGAATTTCATCTGAGACTGCTTGTCTCCTTGCCCTTATTCTTCCTCCTCCTCCTCCGTCACCACATCCTCCTCCTCCTCTCCCTCTTCTCCCTTGTCCTCTTCCTCCTCTTCCTCCTCCTCCTCTCCCTCCTCTTCCTCTTCTTCCTCCTCTTCCTCCTCCTCCTCCTCCTCCTCTTCCTCCTCTCCCTCCTCCTCTCCCTCCTCCTCCTCCTCGACCTATTCCTTAATTTCTCTGTGGATCCATTGTTCCAAAGTTCAGTGAACTGATTCGGGCCCTTGTATCTATTTATTGAAGGATCTGATTGATGTGTTCAATTTTGACTCTTAGTGTTCCCACCTGGGTAATTGTTTGCTAACTGAGTGACTCATGAGTTAAAGCAGGGGAATAGTGTTTATAGTTCAGCAAAATGGTTGTGCTTTTTGAAAAATGGCGTTATGGTTTTGAAATTTTAGTTCAAAAGCCTGGTTATAGTGTTTTAGCAATTGAGAAAAACTGTAATATGTGAGCAGCGTGAATGTACATGTTTGCAAAAATAAAGTTTATGTGTAGTTAGTGAAAAACTGAAATTTTCGTTTAAAATGTGTTTTATAAGTTAGGGTTAGGGTAAATAAACTTAAATAAATGATGAATACTTGATTAAATGTATGATTTGCTTCAGTAACATGCTACTATGATGTCATATATGTTATTACCATATTATTTCAAATAGACATAGGGGAGTGCGGAGGACATAGTAACGCGGGTTATTTGTAACACACGTGGTTTGATTATTTCCAGACTTTAGCATAATAATATTTACAGTACTTATTAGTTACCATATCAACATTATATAGAGAATAAAAGTGCACCAAAATTCAAAAATCTTTTGAAGATATCGCCGAACATTTATTTTACCATAGTATAATTTTAATTCTGGCTTAAGTAAATTTTTCATTTAAAATTAGACAAATCTGCTATTATTTGAATCCCCAACATGTTATTTATCAGATTAGATTTTAGTTTTAGTTTTTTTTTTCATTTTTAATTTTTTTATGCTTTGATAACTAGCAGTAGACACTAACCAGTTTTAAATTTCAGTTGCGCAGATGGGGGACGTTGTAACACTTCATTACAATGTGCTATTCTATGACATTAGCGATGCAATTTACTTTAATGAATTTTAATGAGAAACAACGAGAAACAGGTGAATAAATACTGATAGTCAATGTTTAATGTTCAGAAATTATTATTTCAAGACATGTAAAGCATTTTTGCTCGTTTATGTGGGCCGTCCCAAGCATGGTCTGCAGAAGAAGATCCTCAAGAGCAGAGCCTCCACGTAATCTAGCGTTAAAAAACTTGTGTGATTCACTGATAAAGAAGAGAAACGAGAGGCGCTCATCAGGATCTGAGGAGATCTGCAGTTTACACAGTGAGAAACTCAAACTCTTCTGTCTTGAGGACAAACAGCCGGTGTGTTTAGTGTGCAGAGACTCAGAGAAACACGTCAATCACACATTCAGACCCATCAGTGAAGTGCTTCCATCTCACAAGGTATGATCAGAAAATGGCTTTCATTTCATATGCTGAGCACAGTGTCTTGCTAGTAATATTTGAATATGTTTATCCTTTACAAGTTAAATAATCAAAAAATATATATGTCCTGCAAATTTCAGGCACAAATGGGACTACTTCATGAGAATGATCATATGTCATAAAATTGACAAAAACTATGAAAACTTCCAAACATACTAAAGCTCTTAGCTACTTAAGTTTAACAGATTTCCATCTTAACTTGTAGGAGGAACTGAATACAGCACTGACATCTTTACAAAACAAGCTCAAACATGCAGAAGAAATGAAAGCAAAGTGTGATAAAACAGTTCAACACATCAAGGTGAGGATATCGAGAGTCAAACATTCACAGAGTTTATGATGGACATTAATGGAGTGAGTGTTAATGCAGAGCTGACTGAAGTGAATGTGATGTGATTTCAGTCTCAAGCTGAGCACACAGAGCGTCAGATTAAAGAGGAGTTTGAGAAGCTTCATCAGTTTCTCAGAGATGAAGAAGAAGCTACAATCACTGCACTGAGGGAGGAAGAGGAGCAGAAGCAGCAGATGATGAAGGAGAAGCTGGAGGAGATGAACAGACACATCTCAGTTCTTTCACACACAATCAAAGACACGGAGGAGATGATGAAAGCCAGCGATGCCTGCTTTCTGAAGGTGACAACTGCATTTAGCTTCATTGGGTAATTGGTGAGTTGTTTTGTGCACAAACAATGATCAAACTCTTCATTTGTATAGAGAGAAAATGAACTGTTATGAGTGTTTGATGAGATATTAAAATGTCTTTCAAACTCTATATTTTCCAGGACTTTAGCATCACGATGGAAAGGTAAGTTGAGCTGCTGGTGTTTCTTCTCTCAGTGGATCTGAACTCAAATCCACTGCAGTTCTGACTCCTGAATGTTCTTCCAGAGTCCAGATCTCACAGCCGGATCCACAGATGAGTTCTGGAGCTTTGATTCATGTGTCACATTACTTGAGTGACCTGCGGTTCAGAGTCTGGAGGAAGATGCAGGAAACTCTCCAACACAGTGAGTCTCCAGCAGATTTGACATCAGTAGACATTAATGATTAGATAGTTAAGAAACAAAGACAGACACATCAACATTTGATAGAAATACATCTAATAATCACTTTAAGTTCTATGAAATTGAAGTGAATCTGAACTGTATTTCATAAGATTATCAGATCATACTGCAAACTCATGATGACTACAAAACAGTCTATTCTTCGTGGTGTATTGGAGTGTTGGAATAACCACAGCATCAAACCAAAGGAAGGGAGCGGTTTTCTTTAAGTCTAATGTCTGGCTTATGCGGTATATGAACAGCAAATACAGCTCACAATCCCCAGCGCAACCTTTGACTCTCTTCACAGTTAAAGAGAAGCTGCAGCATGTGAGAGTTCAGCTGGACTGTGACGGAGGAAATGTGTCCTTCTCTGATCCTCTAACTAACATCTGTCTCTGCTCATTCACATCAACCTTCACAGAGACTGTCTTTCCATTCTTATATAATCGCTGCACAACATCCCCTCTGAGGATCTTACCAGTTAAACTGATTGTAACAACAGAAAATCACAGTTAAATCTCATTCTGCTTTTAGATTAATCAAGGTACAAGAATTTGTTGTTTTCATTGTTTTGCATTTTATGGTTCAATATTGTATATTCTGTATTCAGGTAACTAATGGATATTAAAAACATATCTGAATATATATGAAATTATATTTTTAGGTAAAAAACAGCCCCAAACAAACAGAAGTAGCAATAGATAATTTTTTTCCTTCAGTATATTGACCTGCCCTGCGCTACATTTTTTCATTGTATTATCAAAAAAGAAAAAATGTAAGGCAGGTCTTGGTTTTATTCAGCCGTTGTTGACTGGATTTTGATTGATTTTTGGATTTGATTGATTGAGATTGGTGTCACACTCAAATATGAATGTGATTGTAGCGTAGGGGAGACAACTGAGTAGAGGATCCAAACAGAATCAGATCACAAGCCCGGCTCCAACACACCTGCCTGTAATGTTCCAGTAAAGCTGAATGTCTAGAGTAGATTATTATAACTCCAGTAAAGCTGAATGTCTAGAGTAGATTATTACAACTGTTTGATTACAGGAGTTGAACTCTGCACTAGACCTCCAGAACCTCAGGCAAAGACACTCTGTGTGTGTTACAGACTACAATGTGTAACATTATTGCATTTTAATAATTGCATTACTTTCACAGTAATTTCACAGCGGGACTTCTCTTGTATCAAACTGCACTCTCAGAAATATTCTTGTAAACAAACAGCATCATACTGTGTTTCTACAGTGCATATAAAGCTTGTGTTGTTTATTTTGTAATGTTGTAAGTGTTGTTTTTATTTGTTGTGTTTTGTATGTCGAGACATTTTAAAGTTGCTTCACTATTGTGTAAGGTCCATCCGTAAACAATTATAAATATAAAATAAGTTATTGATTAATATTCATGCTTAAAAAATGCTAAAATTAAATTTCATATACATGCTAAGAATAGTTTGAATATCTTAAAGTCAGGTAATTAGCTTATTCATATTCTAGCTTGTCATCATTTTGACATGTTTTTATTTGTCATTTCTGACATGACTAGATCAGAAAATTGAATATGAATTTACAAGGTCCAAGATCCCAAACAAATGGTATCACCAATCACCGGGATGGTGACTTCAAAATAATTACAGTAGTG